GCAGGGATTCACCCGATCAGCGGGGATCCACTGGGATCCACAGGGTTCAGCAGGGATCCACTCTAGCCGCGGGGATCCACAGGGATCCATCCGAGCTGCGGGGATCTGCCCGATCCATGGGGATCCGCAGGGATCCACCTGATCAACAGCCGGATCCACTGGGATCCACGGGGTTCAGTGGGGATCCAGTCTAGCCGCGGGGATCCACAGGGATCCACCCAAGTTGCGGGGATCCGCTGGGTCTGCTCCATCCGTGGGGATCCACAGGAATCCGCCCGAGCCGTGGGGACCTACAGGGATCCACCTGGTCCATGGGGATCCACCCGAGCCGCAGGGATCCACATGGATCTGCAGGGATCCATCCCATCCGTGGGGATCCGCAGGGATCCACCCGGTCCACACAGATCCGCCCGATTCACACGGATCCATCCAATCCACATGAATCCACATGGATGTGCCTGATCCGCATGGATCCGCACAGATCTGCCCTGTCCACACAGATCCACCTGATCCGCCCGGATCCACTCAATACACAGCGATCCACATGGATCCACCCAATCCGCATGGATCCATATGGATTCACTCCATGCCCACGGATCCGCCTGGATCCGCCTGATCCACACGGATCCGCACGGATCCACCGGGATCCCCCCGCTCACGGTGCCCCCTCCCGCAGACAGCAGCCTCCTGAGCCCGCAGCTCCAGCGGATCCTGGAGCGCGTCCGGAGCGGCGCCGACTTCATGCCCGCCTGGCAGGCGACCGTGAGTCCCTTCCCAGCGGGAATGCCGGCGGGAATCCCACGGCATTCCTGGCGTGTTCCCATCATGTTCCCACCACATCCCCGTCGCATTCGCATCGCTCTCCCCGCTGCATTCCTGTCCTGTTCCCGCTGGCGTTCCCATCACATCCCTATCACATTCCCACTGTCATTCCTACGGCATTCCTGTCATTGCCACGGCATTGCCACGGCATTGCCACGGCATTCCCGGTGTGTTCCCATCACATCCTCATCACATCCCCATCACATTCCCGTCGCGCTCCCGTCACACTCCCCGCTACATCACCGTCACATTCCCGCTGTCATTCCCACCGCATCCCCATCACATTCCCGCTGTCATTCCCACGGCATTCCCGGCATTCCCATCACATCCCCATCACATTCCCATCGCGCTCCCCGCCACATTCTCGTTGTGTTCCCGGTGGCATTCCTGCCACATCCCCATCACATTCCCGCTGTCATTCCCCCGGCATTCCCGGCATTCCCCCGGCATTCCCGGCATTCCCAGCGGGTGCTCGCCGAGGAGCTGGGGCCCGGCTGGCGCCGCCGCGTCGCCGCCTTCGCCCCGTCGCCCTTCGCCGCCGCCTCCCTGGGCCAGGTCCACGGGGCGACGCTCCCGGACGGCACCGCGCTCGCCGTCAAGATCCAGGTGGGAACGCCCGGGAATTCCGCCTGGGAATTCCACCCGGGAATTCCACCTGGAATTCCAGCCCGCAMTTCCGCCCGCGATTCCCGCAGTATCCCGGCGTGGCCCGCAGCATCCGCAGCGATGTGCAGAACCTGCTGGCCTTGCTGCGCCTCGCCAAGGCGCTCCCACGGGGTGAGCATTCCCGATGGGAACGGCATTCCCGATCCATCCCAGAGCGCCACACGCGCCTGGCATTCCCAAATCCATGTGTTCGCACCCCAGGACTCTTTGCGGACAACGCGCTGCGCGTGCTGCAGCAGGAACTGGAATGGGAATGTGACTACCGGCGCGAGGCCGAGTGCGCCCGTACCTTCAGGTGCGTCCGGGTTGGGAATGCCGGGAATGCCGGGAATACCGGATGCATGCCGAGGGATGCCCGCTCCGCAGGCGGCTGCTGCAGGACGATCCCTTCTTCGTGGTGCCGCGCGTGCTGCCGGAGCTGAGCGCCGGGCGCGTGCTCACCATGGAGCTGGGAATGGGAATCCCGCTGGATCGCTGCCGGGAGCTGCGGCAGGAGCTGCGCGACGAGGTGGGAGCRCCGCCGGGAAGGCGGGAACGCCGCGGGATGCGGCGGGAATGACGATCCCGCCCTTGCCGCCCAGCTGGGCACCCAGCTGCTGCGCCTGTGCCTGCGGGAGCTGCTGGAATTCCGCTTCATGCAGACGGATCCCAACTGGGCCAACTACCTGTACGACGCCGGGAAGCACCGGGTGAGGCTCCCGCGCCGGAGACGGGTGTTCCCCGTATCCCACCCGGATATCCTGGATATCCTGGATATTGCGGATATCCTATTATCCTATCCTATATCCTAATATTCCAGATATTCCAGGTATCCCAAATATTCCAGATATTCCAGATATCCCGGATATTAGAGATAGTCCAGATACCCCAGATATCCTAGATATCCCAGATATTCCACATATCTCAAATATTCTGGATATCCCAGATATTTTGGATATCCCAAATATTCCAGGTATTCCAGATGTCCCGGATATCCTGGGTATTTCAGACATTGCAGATATCTTGGATATTCTGGATATCCCGGATATTCTGGATATTCCAGATATCCTAGATATCCCGGCTATCCCGGCCGCGCTTCCCGGCGTCCGTGCTCAGCTCCCGCCTCTCCGCCCGCCTCCCAGGTGACGCTGCTGGACTTCGGAGCCAGCCGCTCCTTCCCGCGGGAATTCACGGATCACTACATCGAGGTGGGCGCCGTTCCGGGCGCGCTGCCGCCCTTTCCCGTTGTTATCCTGGCCCCTTTTCCTGTTATCCCGGCGCCGTTTCCTGTTGTTATCCCGGTGGCTTTTCCCATTGTTTTCCCGGCGCGGCTCCCGCTGCAGGTGGTGCGGGCGGCAGCCGACGGCGACCGGGAAAAGGTGCTGCAGAAATCCCGGGATCTGAAGTTCCTGACGGGATTCGAGAGCAAGGTGTGTGGGGGGGGTGGCTGCTGGAGGAGCCGGGATGCAGGATGAGCCGGGATGCGGGATGAACCGGAATCTGGGATGAGTTGGGAACCAGGATGAGCCGGAATCCAGGATGAGCCGGTGGCTTCGGGATGAGCCCACGGATCCAGGATGAGCCGGGATCTGGGGTGCGCCGGGATGATCCCATGGCTCCGGGCTGATCCTGGCTCTGAGCGGATCCCGGCTCCATGTGGATCCTAGTTCCGGTCAATCCCGGTTTTGTGCGGATCCAGCTCTGGGCTGATCCCGGCTCCGGCTGATCCCGGCTCCGGACTGATCCCGGCTCCGGACTGATCCCGGCTCTGGGCTGATGCCGGCTCCGGGCTGATCCCGGCTCCGGCTGATCCCGGCTCTGGGCTGATGCCAGCTCTGGGNCCGGCTCCGGACTGATCCCGGCTCTGGGCTGATGCCGGCTCCGGGCTGATCCCGGCTCCGGCTGATCCCGGCTCTGGGCTGATGCCAGCTCTGGGATGATCCGAGCTCTGGGATGATCCAGGCTCTGGCCGCTCCTGGCTCCGGGCTGATCCCGGCTCCGGGCTGATCCCGGCTCCGGCTGATCCCGGCTCCATGCCAGGCGCAGGAATCGGCGCACGCGGCGGCGGCGCTGGCGCTGGGCGAAGCCTTCGCGTCTCCGGCTCCCTTCGACTTCGGCGCGCGGGGCTGCGGCTCCCGCTTCCAGCCGCTGCTCCCGCCGCTGCTCCGGAGCCGCCTGGCGCCGCCGCCCGATCCCGCCTATTCCCTGCACCGCAAGCTGGCCGGCACCTTCCTGGCCTGCGTCCAGCTGCGCGCCCGGATCCGCTGCCGGCAGCTGCTGGAGGACGCCTACGCGCGCTACCGGGAACGCGCCAGGGCCGAGCGGGAGCATCCGGAGCCACCTGGAGCCCCCCGGGATCATTCCGGCATTCCCAGTGCCTAATGGGAGCGCCYGGAGCTGCCCGGAGCCACCAGGGATCATCCTGACATTCCCGGCACCTCCCGGGAGCGCCTGGAATCATCCTGACATTCCCGGTGCCCGGAGCCACCCAGGATCATCCCAACATTCCCAGCACCCAGCGGGAGATCCCGGGATCATCCTAGTGTTCCCAGTGCCCAGCAGGAACATCCAGAACCTCCCAGGATCGTCCCGACGTTCCCGGAGCCGGGGGATCCTCCTCACGGCACCGGGGGGGGGGGGGACCAGGATCTCTCCGTGTCCCCTCTGCGGATCCTCGGGATTCCCCCCCCGGGATCCCCCCAGGATCTCCCTCAATCCAGGCCACGGGAATGGGATCTGGCTCCCAATAAAAGGGGGAATTTTGCCCCAAAATGGGCACCTCCAGACTCCCATTTTTTGCCTTATGAGTCTGTTTTTTGGGTGTTTTTAGCGTTTTTTGGGTCTTTTTAGTGGTTCTGGGTGAACTGGGRTGGGGGAGGTCTGTGTTTGGGGTGAAAAGTCTGTGATTTGGGGCAGGCTGCCCGGGTGTGGGGCGGGGCCATGTTTTGGGGRGAGATTTTGCGATTTTGGGGCAGGTTCCCACTGTGGGCACGTGGGCAGCAGGTGCAGGGGGCGGGGGCTTGTATGTAAATGACCA